AATAATAATAATAATAATAATAATAATAATAATAATAATAATAATAATAATAATAATAATGATAATAATAATAATAATAATAATAATAATAATAATAATAATAATGATAATGATAATAATAATAATAATAATAATAATAATAATAATAATAATAATAATAATAATAATAATAATAATAATAATAATAATAATAATGATAATAATAATAATAATAATAATAATAATAATAATAATAATAGATAGATAGATAGCATTTGTATAGCGCAAATCCCCGCTCAACAGCAGGCTCTGTGCGCTTCACAATCCATACTATTACCCCAGCAGACCTGAGAGCATTCTGAAACAACCTCAACTTCCAAGGAAGCATACAGTGCAAGCAGCAATCTATAGGCGCTAAAACACTAACATACTGACAAGATCTTTTGCTGTCTATGGCCGGGTACCCATTCCCACCTGGGTGAAGTGAGGAAAATTCGTGTAAAGTGCCTTTCCCAAGGACACAACGTCGGGCCCGCGGTTCGAACCCCCGACCCCGCAACCTCACGATTACCCAGTCCGACGCCACATATAACATATAACAAGACGTTATTTAAAAGATAATAGGTAGTTTACGCCCACGTTGACACACTGCGGATCATTTAAGAGGCTGGCTTCCGACCCTGCAGTATAGGCTACCCCGGGCTGAGAAGAAAACAATAATATCCTTGCAGAAATGCGTGATACTCAATAACATTTAATCTCACTCGGGAATCGAACCCGGGTCTCCTGCATGGGACAGCGCAGCACCCAACCGCTGCACTATAATGTTGATCATGCCGCTATTTATTTTTTTCTACATTGAATATCATCTACTGAATTCCTCATCAAATAGATCGAGCTGATATCAATGCTAATGACACCCCCCCCCCCCACACACACACACACTCACACACATGCACACACATGTATGTATGTATGTATGTATGTATGTATGTATGTATGTATGTATGTATGTATGTATGTATGTATGTATGTATGTATGTATGTATGTATGTATGTATGTATGTACACAAAAGTTTTTCAGAAGCACTCGAAGACATAGACAGACGACAATCGGCTGGGTTTTGTTCATATGCCTTGCCCCTTTTACAGTGCCCTTTTTACACCGCAGAAACGTTTATTTCGCCTGGGCCTGTGGTAACATTTTAAAAAAATGCTATTTATTAAGGTCAACTATTCTGCACGTTGCAGTGCTCCAGAATGTCTCGAAAAAATAAGTGCAAGTTTTTACAGATATAATTAGATTTTAAAATGCATGTTTAAATATTATCAAGGTGCCACAAGTGAGCACAGGGTTACAATGAAAATTTCGTCGTACCACTAGGGGAGGCTCGTGTGACACATCCTCTTTTGTACAGTTCTGATCTTTTTGAGAAGCGGGCTGCTCCGACCTTAACTGTTACCTCAGGGTAAGTAAGATACGGCGTCTCAGCAGACGAACTGAGACATTTGGTAAACTATACCCCCCCCCCCCCCCACACACACACACACAAGCAGGAATCGAACTCACGTCTTCTTAGTGGAACTGTCCAGATCCTGACCTTGACATAAAAAAACGTGGGGTGGTATAAGGAGTAGTGGCATATTTTCTGTGAACTTCTAATACCAGTGTTTTTAATAATATTGTGCAAAGCTCTAATTCGTGTAATCCGACCACCGACGACCAATTGTAAAAAAAAAATCAAAAGACCCCATAGTCAGAATTTCTCTGTGTGTGCGAGGTCGGGGGTTTAGTTAGAGAGGGGAGGGGGAGGGGAGTCTTGCTTCGGAATAGCTTGGAAGTATGGGGGTAAATCTTAAACAATGACTGTGACAAAGACAATGACAATGGATTGAGAGTGTTTTGTATATACGATTACTTCCCTGCTGGACACATGGCTTTCACTATAGGAGCATTTATCCCAATACAAGAGGAGGATATATCAGAAATAATTAAAGTTGTCATCTAACCACTAAGGTATTGACGTCAGTGATAAAAGTATAACGTATTATACGAATCAATCTATAACATATCTGCTCTCGAACCAATCACTTGAATTTCATATGGCGTTACTCTTGATTATTTTACGACATCACAAACAAAGGATGGTGTCGCTCCAAAAGAAACAGGACAAAGTTTACAAAAGAAAACATCCGTTTCCTAATTTCTATGCGCTGCAAACTTGACAAATCGCAAAACTTATTCAAGGAAATTTGTAGAGTGTTTGGGGGAGAATTTGCTTGTTCATATGACCTAGACAG